CGGCGGCGATGGCTAATAAAATAATTTACTGTCAAAGTGTCGGGGAGTTTGAAAAGGGCGAATCGCGGCATTTGAATGCCGTTAGACATTAGAGGTTGCAAATATCCAATTAATTTGTCTCCTTCTACGATTTCAGTGGACGCCCTGCGATGCCATCAGTGCAACTCCCATTCGAACGAGGACTGCGCCAGTTTATTGGTCAATACACCACGCGCCCAGCGAGATGACCAGTTTCTGAAGGACTGTGCACCCCGTGGTGAGAAGGAGGCCTTCTGCCGCAAAACGATCCTGAAGTTCGAGGTGAACGGGGAGCACCGCATCGAGCGGGGCTGCGGCTGGATCGAGGAGAAGATGCAGAACGCCTGCTTCACTGCCGACAACGAGGGATACAAGCAGACCATATGCACCTGCAGCCAGGAAGGCTGCAATGGAGCCACCTCCCTCCTGGGGGCACAATACACTCTGGCAGCCGCTGCCATCAGTCTGCTCGTCGTCAGCCTCATCAGAAACTAACCTTAGGCCAATCATTCATCCGAAGCGTATGCGCCTGCTCCCTAAAAGTACGAGTACCTTCAGCTACCTGTTTTTTCAGCTATGCCATATAAGTAATGTTATGTCTACATCTTCCGAAGGGACAGGCGCTCCCATCTGTCCGGCAACTGTTTCGCGTTTAGTTTTGTATTTCTATTTAATTTCTATGAAAATATAAGCCTTACATTTAACAAAAATATCCCCAGAGCCCGTTCCAACTCTCGCTTGCTTGCTTTTCATTTGGAGCTTAAAATTTCAGCTTGATTCTGCAACTTTAATCCTTGGACCAGACCTTGGTCCTTGGACCACTTGGGTTGGATGTGCAGAATGGGAGGATGTTTTGATAGCCTCAATCTCGTGCTCTGAGCTGTTATTGCTTCCTGCGTTGGCCAAGCCCCATCGCCATCCCCATCCCTCTGCCCTGCCATATTTCTCCACTTGCAAATTGTTTAAGCCGTCGGAAAGAAAATGGATAAAATAGGTTAACTTAAACGGAAGTGAGACTAAAGCAGTACAAAGATAATTTTTATAATATCAGGCTACAAGAAGATTAACTATTAATATTAAATCTAAATAAAGCAGAGAAGAAACGTGGCTTATAAAAGTGCTTCTACACATATCTTTAGATAGGCTCCATCTACAAAACACATTCAAATCCATAAATCTGATACATTTTCACTCTGCTTTGCACTCAACATTGATTCTCTCACAGAACCACAACATATCATAATCCTTTTATACTGAAGCACTCTGCCGAAAATCGTTAATTACTCTGTCCGACCAAAAGGCTGTCCATTAATTCACGATGTATGCCTAAAACCTATAATCGTTTCCCTACAGCAATTCAATTATTTATGTTTTGCACTTAAATCACTTTGACATCGACTGAGAGAACTTTCATTTTGGCAGAAATCCGAAATTTATGCGTTAAAAGGGAATGCGGGGAGATGGGGCTCTTGGCAGCCGGCTGTGCAAAATGTTGCGGCAATTATATAAAATCGAAATTTTCATATGGAAAAGGCAGTGGGATGAACGCATGAATTGACCAAGGACTCGCCTACACTCTATACATTTGCGAGTGTCTGTCGCCCATCTGTCCATCGCTTTTGATAGTAGCTGCTGCCAAAATGTCTGCAGAAATTGCTTTGGATGTATGGCCAAAAGCAGAGACCAAAGTCAGTGTCTACGCAGGCCAAAAATAATAGGGCAACTTTGTTAGTTTTATTGTTGAGGCTGGGGAGGATGGAGAACGGGAACAACCCTTAAGACATGTTGGCCCATTAAGTCAAGCACAGAACCCACCCAAAGACCCACTGACTGGTGGCTTTTTTTTTTGCTGTGAACAGTAACTTTAATGCGCTGGCAGTTGTTGTTTGTCTTACCACAGACACAGATATACAGGATATACACTCTCACAGATATGTATACAAGATACTCTGTCTCACAGAAGGCTACTCGGACACAGAGACAGTCTACACTCACAGATACATCCTCAGAGCTACAGATACAGATACAAGTGCTAAGACGACCTACATGCGTTACATTTTGTGTTCTGTCGTCGCCAGTTCAAATAGTTCTGCAGCTTTTGTCTATGGGTGCGTTCTGTCGCCAGTGTGGCGCCCCTGGCCACAGCAACAGCATCCGCAAAGCATGCCAGGCCCCATGATCCGCCTTCCGCTGTGGCCCCCACACCATCCCGCATCCCAACCAATGCTCGACCCTGCCCCAGCCTTGCCTCATGTCTGTGTTCAGTCGCTGGCTTCCTTTTATTTTTGTGGACAGCTTGGCGCCAACATAAAAAACATTGATTTTGAATTCACAGAGCGCCCTCGGGCCAAAAAATATTGCTCAAATCATTTATTACTGTTGTTGAAGAGCATTTTCAGCATCTGCTTAATTGTTTAAACAAAGTTTTCTAGAGCAAGGAGTGTTACTTTTTTCCCAAAAACCTAATTATAGAAATCGAAAGAAAGTTTTCAATGATAATTTGATTGGCAAGGGTGTTAAACATGGCAATTCCTGTGCTTACGACTCATAATAAATTTTAAAGGTATTGTTGTTTTTTATTTATCATGATAATTCCGATCACAAGAAGGTATGGCACGGCTCAGAAAGCCCCACATATAGCGGTTAGCAGCTACAGATTTGAATTGTTTTATGTCTATTGAATTTTGCGACATGATTTCTACATACCATTTCTACAAGCATTTTACATATTACTTATTGACATTAATGGTCCGCTACCTTCGTGTTGCATACTTTCGGGCTTGCGACTTTTGGCGAAAACAATTATTGAGGAAACTACGCATACGCGGTGTTGTACGCAACGAAAACATTTCTTCCCCCAAGTTTTAAGTTGGCTTTCTTTTTGTTTTCTCTGTGAACGTGTAAATATGAGTGCAATGCCATAATCATAATATTGTGCGAGTAGGAATTTCCATAATCAAAGTTGTTCTCAGTTTTGTTTTCCAGGCACTTCTGAAGGGGTAATTGTCTGTGAAATCAGATGGGTTTTTATGTGGTGGTTGAACCAAAATTTCTTGGAATAAATTTAATATAATTTTAAAGTTGTTTTTTTTTCAAAATTTGAGATGTTTCTAATGCTTCTACAAAACGAAAAATTATCCGACTATATTAAGAGAAGACCTCGAGAGTTTTCCAAAGCTTATCATCCCCGGTGTATATTCATAGAACATGAATCATATCGCCTATTTCTACATATTATACAAGTATTTTGTTCTTTTTCTTAATACCATTGGCGCGATATCCTATCCAAGAACATCTTTCACTTTCTAATGACGTTAAAATCTCAACAAAGTTTTCGTTGTGCTCGCATACAATCTGTCTCTGGCATTCGTTAGCATTTTAGAGCGACTCGCAGATTTCTTATGTTAATCAGTTGGATGATTTATATGTGGCTTTGCGTACTGCAAAAGAACATAAATATTTTTATTGTTGCCCGCTCGAAGGGAGTCACGTACCGACCATGACGTATACGCAATCCGTAGGAGATATGTATTTTCACATGCCGCCTAGGATATTTTGTATTTACCACGCCCTCAATCGAAAGGCTGATTGTTGGAGATGGTGGTGATGATTCTGTCACTGCTGCTCCTGCATTCTAGGGCACGTGCAGAGGGAGACACCCACAAATTGCTGTCATAGTTATCCCCGGGTGCTTCCACTTCCGCTACGTGCTCAGTCAGCTCATTGACCTGTAAATTGTAAAAGGCAAGTGGGAAAATGAAATTCTTTTCCCTCTTTTACCAGCTTTTGTTCTCTGCTTTTCGTTAGGGTCTACCTGAAGCCGCTGCTCGAATTGCACTGAAATTGCAGTCAAGTGCAAGCGATTGCTGGAAAAAATTACGTACTTTGTGCATTGTTTGCCTGTTAAATTGATTTTATGTGCTTTGCATTCTTCAGATGATCCATAAAGGATTATGGCAGAGCGGGGCGGAGTCTGCTACATCATTACTGCGAAGGGGATTTGTGGAATTTGGTATTTCTATTAGAAAAACAACACTTATAGGTGAAGTACTTGTAATATTTTCCCATATAACATGTTTTCTCGTCATATTTTCCATTTCTCTAGTGTACTTTTATGTCATGCACTAACTTTTCCCTTGAAAGTTTTTATGTGCCATAAAATGATCAAAGCCATCCGCATATCACATAAAGCTTATTTAAATAAGTTATTCGACACAAAATGTATTTAGGTTTTAGTTTAAGGAAATTGAATCCCAAATCAGCCATTAAATATACCCATAAAATACCTCCTCTATCAGAATATATAGTGCAGAATAATCCCCGTGAGTGGGGGAATGGATATCCATTGTGAAAGAAATTTTTATGTCTTGACTCTCCTTGCAACCCCAGCATTTGCAAGCGCATTTGTAGCGATTGATTCGCCCAGAAGCTGCAGATATGGCCAACGATAAAGTTTTATGTTTATTGCCGGCTATGGAGGTGGCTTGACGCTGTCCTTGGTCAATGCCAGGGCCAGTGCCAGTGCCAGTGCCAGTGGCAGTTAATTAGCTTCTAGAGAGAGCTGCCGGCAGCAACAGCCACGCGTGTACCTCAGGGCGTATACGTAATAAAACTCAATTAAACTAGAGTCAACAGAGAGGCAGAGACTGCCATTTACTGACGTTCTCTGCAGAATCTTTTATAGAACTGACATTTACCGACGTTCTGTTCGAGGATATTCCATTAGCAACGTTGCTCCTTTTATTGAGCTTCGGTGGATTGTCGGAGATACTTAAACCGTAAATATTTCATAGCTGCGGCTGCACAGGAAAAAAGTTTTTCAATTAGCATGCCAGGCGAAAAATTTCAACTAATTAAAGGCCATTTTGTGGGCGGAGGCGAAACAACTTTTGACCCACAAATTGTTGTTACACATTTTCTTCTTTTTTTTTGGCAAGACAAAATTTATGGGCAGGCAAGGGCACGAAAATAAAAGCACGCTTTACGATGTGCACGGTTCGATGCAAAAGATAAGCAGGTTGTAAACCCAAGTCAAGTCGTGGCTATATGTTGGATATGGAGCGCTAGAGAGACCGTTGCAAAAATGTGTCAAGTTGTAAAAATCGAAAACATAACTTATGGCTGCCTCTAGCGACTGCCATGCATGACCTTTGGCCAAAGAAAACACAATAACAGGGCAGAGCTAACAACAACAAAGACTTGGAGAAAAGAATTGCTAACCGGAAACGGAAGCGTGCGTAAACATTCTTTAATTATGTCCTGTCGCTGTTAGCAAATGAAGTTGCGGCATGCAATGCCCGGGAAAATGGATGGGAATCGGAGGAATTATGACATCAACATGGGCGACCAGCAGGCGACGACGTCACCATCATCGCCATTGTCCAGACAGACCCCGACTTGCCCAATGTGTCCTTGTCACGCAGCAGTCGAAACGAATTGGACTAGCTCTGATTTCAGTTGGTTTTTTTTTGGCACTCCGATTTACATTTTCCGCCATCCACCACGAGACGGCAACAGGCTGCACTTTGGTGGCCGACAGCCAAAGTTTCTGGAGCCAGGATTAACCCTGGAAATGGACGCCCCGAAAGGGTAATTGAAACAGATTCTGGTTATACATTTCGCTGGCAATTCACTTGCCAAAGAAACTTGTTGATCGGAGATTTTACAGTGTGGTTTTGCGAACAAAACTAATCCGGCGTCAGCCATGTCAATATGTAAATAGAAAAAAAGAGTTTTTCTAGCCCAGAACAGCGTCCAAATAATTTTTGGCATAGGATTAGGCTAACAAATTGTTGGACCACCACAAAACAAGTTCACTGCTGGTGGCAACCCACGCTACTAATCCCACTTTACCCCTACTATCCACCCCCACCCCCAAACACTCACATATACTCGTGGAGAAACAAGCGACCACATTAGCCAACACTTTTGGCGGATTTGGGGCCAGGGCCGGGGTCGCGACCTACACCAATCACAGTCTGCATTGTTTATGATAAATTGAAACGCTTGCCGGCGTGCACTCTGCCCCGCGGGAGATACGGCTGTCATGGAATGGTAGAGCAGTAAACCCCTTTGGATAGCGATAAATAAACGCCCACACCCAGGATGTCAGTGTAGTCGTCGTCGTAGTCCAGAGGCGAGGTCAGAGCCAGAGCCAGAGCCAAAGTCAAGCCGCAATGCAAAAAAGCGGATGAGTTTTTCGCTCTTGGGCGCCACTAATTGCTGCGCATTGTTGCGCCATCCTGTGGTCTCCAAACCCGTTCCTGAGACAACTCCCCAGGCACTCATAATTTCACAGAATCCCAAGGATCCATTTCCATGGCTCCATGGCTCCACGGCTCCCCCTCCGGTGTGGTGTCGCCACGCAGCTCGCTCTTCATTTTCCGCTTATTTTATGAATACATAATTTCATTTTGGCTCAACCGCGCCGAGTCCAGTTACTGATAGGTCAAATGGGTGGGATAAACCCCACTCCCTGGACTCCTCCAGGACATGGTTTATTGCTGCTGGTTTCAAGTGGCTGCTGGCCTTGCGGCCAAAACAGTTTTTGGCTAAGAGATTGCAATATTCGAAAGAGGGAGGCTGCTGCTGCTGCTGCCGCTCTTTCTTTGACGAACGCTTCCCTACCAATCTTTTGGTTTTGCATTTCGCAATTTGAATAATTTTTCTCTTTTGCAGCCATGTGGGGGTACCCAAGATGTTATTACTGTCAGAATCAGGAGCCACTCGAGCGACGACGTTGACGTCGACGTCGACTACGACGCACCCACGCAATATACACCAGGAGGGAAGAAGGACGAAGGACGCAGGACGCAGGACCCCCGAGACGACAGTAGTCGTTGCCTGTGAAGCCTTCGTTTGGTACATTCGTGTCCCAAAACGATGACGTCGCCCTCGTCGTACCCGTGGCTGTCGGTTCAGTCTAGCGTAGGTCCTCCTCTTGAAGGCAATTGCCTTTGCCTTTCTGGCTTCCAATTTCAGTTTTCATTTGGCCAGCGGCAGTGGCACAACACACCAGAAATTGTGGCAAGTGCGAACACAACTGAGTTGAGAGCTCAGGGCGCGAGTGGAATAAAATATTTGAAAAGTTTCCAAAAAATTAAATATAAATCAAAAACACAGAAGAAGAAACCACGTGCAAATAATGAGCTATAAAGAGTCGGCTATTTTGTGGCTGTTGGCCCTGCATTGCTGCATATCGTATGGTGTGTGTTACCTGTGGCTATATGAATGCTGAATTTCAAGTAAACCGAAATATCCTTCTATCCTGCAGGCGCAGCCATACAGTGCTTTGTGTGCGATTCGAGCGACAATCCCAGTTGTGCCGATCTGGGTTCCAATTCGAGCATAGTGCCGGAGGTAAGTCGCTGAACAGATTACGAATTGCGAAAGGCTCATCCATCACCAGTCTGGTGGATTGATTGATGATGTGGGACCTGTTGTTGAGTTGCGTATTCGAGAGGCCCGTCTCTTCTTGGCGGCACATTTTTAGCCCGGTCATTTCACTTAACCTTTTGCCAGCCTAATCACATCTCTCGTGACCTTAATCAAAGTGCTGGCACTCACAAATTAAAACTACATGGCCCATAAATCTAGCACCTACAAAAAAAAAAAAATAACTATACAAAACAGGAAAACCTGTTAGAAATAGACCCCACAAAAGCGGAAACGGAAACGTGCAACGTCGTCGTCCTCCGCCTCCGTTAAGTGAATTTTCTGTTACTGGCATCTCTCTCTCCCTCTCTCTCTATCCAAAAACTGCGAGTGGTGTCCCAGCGAGAATGCCAAGGCAAGCGACGGAATGAAAAGAACTTAACCCGGCCACGTGCCAAACAGTTGGAATACTTTTACAAAAGTCTAACAACGTAAATTTTCAGCACTTGAGTTCCTCTTTCTCCCCCTTTGTGACAGTTCTGTGAGGGAATCTCGTTTGCTCTTGGCACAAAAAAATTAATTCAATTCTCTTGTAGAGCAGCAACTGCCAAAACGATTGCCATCTATGATTTGTAATCTCTGTGTAAAATAAAATTGAATTGGCAAAGAGAAAGATGTATAACAACGACTGCCAAAAAGGAATGGAATGAACAAAATCCTGGAATTTACGGAACAAAAATATATGTATGTTTGAAAAGAGAAACGCGTACAACCAGCTCATCTTTATTATTTAATCTGAAATGTTGGATAGACTAATTGCAATTCAATTGTAACTACAACTCCTACAGTTTGTTCTGTTCCACTTTATACAAAAATTGAAACAAATGAACAAAGTAATTAAATTCTTCGATAATGATGAGAATTCCAGTAGTTTCAAGCATTAAGCGTAATCTTATGCTACTTACTTAAATTCCATTCTATTCTCGTACTACTATTTACTTATTCAAGCTATAAATTCCACAGCAGTTGAGTAACTCAAAATATCATCAAGTGACTAAACCAACTTTAACGGGGAACTATCCACCTTTAATAAATTTCTGAGCTTACTTATATAGGCCGTAGTTATGATTAGAGTGCCCTTATTTCTCCTCATATTTGTGATAACTGTGTTGAGTGCAGAGCAGCGCAGTTTCAATAATCGTTATGTGAGTGCATTTTCCCCATTGATAGCGAAGGTCGTCTCGTGGCATCGCAATGCATCAATACTGATACTCGTATCGCTCATTGAACATACATATATTTATAGATAAGATAAATCACTTACTAGCAATCACAATTAAGGCATTAATTACAGACTGGAGACAACATTGTAGTCAATGCAAATGCAAAGCGATTATTTCTCTCATTATTTCTAGTGAAAGTCTTTTAGTTCATAAAAGACACAATTCTTCAAGATGGTTCTATCATTTTCGTTTCAGACCTGCACTTTGGACAAAATGAAGTCACTGGACACCTGGCTGTTTGATCTGAACAAGTTCTCCTACTTCGATAATGGGGCCAACAAGAATCCGCTAATGAATTGCCAAAAAGTTGTGGCCAGAGATCGTAAGTAAAGAGGGTTTTGAATAGGAAAAAGGTTGACGACATGTTGGAGTGGAAGTGTTTGAAGTGAAAATTGAGACATATTTTTCCAAAAGAAAGAAAGGATATTGGATTGTGCCTAACCTTCGAATTAAGATGTTTTACGATTATCTAATATATGTATTTACATCTAACTCCATGATTCATTTATTGAACCTGAACCTCTGCTCTTTGTCAGCTATAACGTATATATCTGGTTTATGGCTGACTTTTATCAGAGAATGGTTTTGCGATACACATTTCGTTGCACATTTCATTATCAGTTTTTTTTTTATGACGAGGAAATGTTCAAATATTCCCACTTTTTATGAACCAGAATCGAAAAAACCTTTTTATAAACAATCGAGATTTATCGATTTATTTTCTTTGGAAAAATATAAACTGCACATCATTTTCACCAGAATATCATAGTTAGAGCTATCCGTTCTCTACTTTCTTCCCACAGCTGACACCAGAAAGATCGTAACGGCTCGCTTTTGCCAGCTGGACACTGGAGACTCGGATGCCTGTGAGATTCTACGAAGCAAGCTGCGTATCACCAATGCGGGCGACAGCAGTCGCGATCAGGGCCGGCGGGAGCGGGACCAACAGCAGCGACGCAAGGGCCAGCAGGGCTATGGCTATGGCCAGGAATCGGCCGATAATGACGAGGAATCGGAGGAGGATACCTTCTTCTGTGACATTTGCAGATCGGATCGGTGCAACGGGGCCGCGGCAGTGACGTTGACTTTGGGTTCGGTGGCGGCAATCCTTTTGGTAAACCTAATGCCCGGACTAATACACTGTTGAAGGAGGTGTTGGTGGATGTATGGGTGGCTTATTGGTAGCGTTGGTTGCATTTAGGTTGAGTTACCGTTAGCGTTACCTTTACCGTTGCCGTTACCGTTTACTTTGTAAATATTTGAGTGCAATGTCGTTGATTTGAACAAGCCCTTTCAATGGCACTCGCCCTCGTCTCCCCCCATCTACAGACCCACGCCTGACCCTGCCCCACCTCTCTCTTTACCTCTCCCCAACCCCTAGCCATGTAAGCACACACACACACACAATCACACACGTTCCAATACACCGATACAGTCCCACAAACACAGATACAGACACAAACTCGACAACCTCAAAGAGAGAAAAGCTCATTCTCTTTTATTCAAAACAAATATGAAAACTTTCAATTACCACGAGATGAGATGTTGATGGAAGGGAAAATGGACCTCTAAGGGATATGCTTATCCAAATATGTACTACATACGATCCCATATATCCCATATATATCAAGGATGGAGGACCTGTTCCATTAGCTCTTATTGTAGCTTTATTATATGTTGATTGTTATATTGATAATTGTTAGGGAAGATGAGTATAAGAATTCACCGATTGCCTTTAATTTTCATATTCATAGCAAGCAATATAGATGGGAATTATAAACATTAATACATATACATATGTATTCTTAGGTAACTTTAAATGTGCTTAAATCGGAGAAAACAACTCTAAGAGAATTCTAATATATTTTATGTTCAATTACAGAATTTATGGATTCGTTTCATAATGAAATTCCTTCAATGCAAAAACCGCACGCAGAAACAATCAACAAACAAATATTATACAACCAAAAATATGCGAATTTAACAAACAAAAATATGCAATAAATGCAACTAAATGTTCAATTAGAAATCAAGCAAAAAGAAGGATAAAACCCAAAAGCAATGCAATATATGATACGATATATATACATAAATGTAAACTGTAAATCTGTCAAGGGATGAGCACTGAGATATAGCTTAGATATGCCTACCAGCCACGCCCACAATACACACTCTGATTTTTAGTCAAGCAATCAATTCTGTTTAGTTCATAAGCGAATTCTCGAGTGGAACTAAGATCGAACTAAAATACTTAGCGAGCACACGAATAAATGCTGTATGACAGTATAACGATTTTGTGTAAGACATTTCTACGACGCGATTGTGGGAGTATAACAGTCATAGATGTGATTCTTTTTGTGATACCCTTTAGGGGAGGTATAATATCATTCTTGCAGCGGATGGTCACAGTGGGATCTCACTCTCTGTGGCAAGATACTGGGGGTGTAAGTATGTTGAAATATTAAAAAGTATGACTATCTACGAAATCATTTCAATTCCTTCCTCAGAACTTTATTGAGATCTCTTACTGAAAGACTCTAATTATTGGGAAATGTTTGGTGTTTGGCAACTTTCTGCTGAGATCTTTCAGAACATACATATATTCTTCATCATCATCAAGAGCTTAGATCATCGATGATCATGCCCTGATTTTTGAAGCGAAGAACTCTTTCAGTTTCAAATTTGCATGATTCACCAACTCTTCAGGATCATTAGGATAACAAATTCTTTTCAGAGTAACATATATATTTCCAAAGCCAATTCAACTAAACTTCCTTTAATATTTTCAAGCATCTTTTCCCTAAAGGTTCATCGAAATTGGATCAGTATATGATAAAGCAAACGCCTTGAGGTATATACACATTCGACTTTCATTTCTAGCTTGTTGATTTTTGACTTGTTTTCCCCCAATCAAAGATAATTTTCCCATTACTCATGTAAGATGCTCGAGTGCAACATCCCAGCTCCCCTCGCCTTTCAATGCTGTCTCTGTCTTTCGCATTTCATTGGAAACGTCGTTGGCGATGCTATCGTCACAGGTTATCTCTGTCGCCGGGCGGGACATGTTTCACCAAGGCAGCAAATTATTTTCTCTACCCCCCGCCTCGTCTCCAGCCCCCACCATTGCATGATAGCCCAGAAATCTATTTTGAAAGAGGAAACAACAGCCTCCTCCATTGCTGTCGATGTCTTCGGTCTGGCAGTTCCATTTGAATTTTCGGTGGCGCTTGCTGACACGAAGAGTACCAAAAAAACCAACCAAAAAAAGAACACCGGAACTGTGAAAGAAGCAGTACTTTTCGAGCCCACATTCTCATCCGGGGAGCGCTGCACACATCGAAAGTTGTTGAATTTTTTGACGCGTTGACGGTTTGCAAATTGAAAGTTTTCTCCTTCGAAACACACAAAAGAATGCAATCGTTGTTGTTCTTGTTGCCGTTGCTGCTTCTGGCGTTGGTTTTCAGTGGATCAGGTGTTTCAGGTATGTATAGCACCAGGTGGTGTTCTGTTGGCCATAAATCACACGGCACTAAGCCATGGCACCCGTCCGTTCCTATGCTAATTGATTGACCCCAAACAAAAAGTTGCTCATACGCACCGTTGAACCCTGCCAGGGGCCCAGGCAGGGCGGATTACTCATCCGCCTGATAAGAGCTGCTGATAAGACCTGTCACGGTCGCAATGTGCACCAACCCACAACTAACCCAAGGTCGTCGTGTGTGCTTTTCCAGCTCTGCGTTGCTATACCTGTCAGGACTGCGATGAGACGGCCAAGCTGAGCGAGATGGAGGTGTGTAGTGCCTCGCCCACGTCTGCGAATGGTGATGGAATGCTCATGGCTTCCATTTCCAGCCAGAGCCCCAGTGTGAGTCCATCCAGTCCGGCTGCTAGTCCGGCTGCCAGTCCTGCTGCTAGTCCTGGTGCTATTCCAGGGACAGGTTTGTCCAAGCCCCCAGCTCCTGCTGCTGCTGCTGCGATTAATGGTAGCGAGGAAGAAGATGAGGACTATGACAGCGATGAGTCAGCTCCAAATGCGGCACTGTCCTCCATAGGCATAGGAGCAGCTGCTGCAGGAAACGGAGTTGGTGGAGGAGTACCCGGAGCAGCAGTGGGAGCAGGAGGGGGAGCAGCAGTTGGAACAGGAGTGGGAGCAGGACCAGCTGCAGGTGGTGCTGCAACCGGAACCGGAACCGGAGTTCGGCCCGGAGCTGCTGCCTCTATTGACAGCGAAGGCGACGAGGACGAAGACGAGGACGAGGATGAGGACAGCGATGATCGACGCAGGCGTAGAACCGTCAGACAGGTGTCTGACATTGCCGTGTGCTACACAGCCAGGCTCCAACGTAAGCATCCACCTTATCGTACAGGCCATTCACATTGCTGCATCGATATTGATAAGATAGTAGCGAGTAACGATGACTGAATCATCGACTGACATCCTCCGTGACATTATCGCAGCAATGTGAACTGACTTTCACCGAGACCTTATCAGTTAGCTAACCCCCTTGATATATCCACCAGGTAACGATACCGTGATCACTAATCGGGGCTGCACCATGGCCAGGTCGGGCAATCAGACCGCCGCCTGTGATGCGCTCTTCGAGAACTGGAGCGTGATGGGGTGTCAGCTGTGCGAGGAGAATGGCTGCAATCAACCCATTGACATAACCACGGGATCGATGTATGCATCTGGCTCAAGGTCGACGTCAGCCCAATGGACAATCTCAGCACTGACGCTACTGGCGATTCTTGTGGCCTAAACTGCGGAACGGACGGAGCGGGGGATTGATAGCGAAATATATAATATATGGCCCCAAAACAGAATTCCAAGTCTGAGTTGATTTTTGGAATCGCAGTTGGGTGATTTATGAGAGGTTTGATTTGATTTTCGTCTATTTATGGCACACTTACGCCAATGTCTCATAAAAATGGCAAAATTCGGGAGGCAATGAGAGCACCTGGGCTATTTTGGCATAATTGTTTAATTGGCTTTGATAAGACACATATATAACTATGGTTTCCCTTTTTTCTGGTTGGTGGGAAAGTGCCCACTCATTGGGGGCCGCTTCATGTTCATTCAACCTGGAACTTGTAGGCGGGCGAAAGCACTATCAGAATCGAATCAATTAGGTTCGGACGATAAGTCATCCATCCAGGCACGCAGGCTATGACGATGAGGGGAGGGTGCTCCCGTACGCAGTTATGCGGTTAGAATTTTCAAATAGAACTCAATGACTTCATGCAGCTAATAAACTGATAAATTGATAAACTGATACACTGCCCAGAGCCATTTAGCCTGATAAGCGATAGGTAGTCGAGTGGCAATTGCAGCCTTAAATTTCTACAAGATTTATGGCGCCATAAGAGGACTGGACTGGGCTGGACTGAGATTGATATTGGTATTGAGAGTTCTCAATCGGGCGATGAGCAACTCGATGATGAGGAAGCTCGATATCAGTGCGCTTAAGGAAACTTGTTCTAAGCAGACAAACGGTTAAATCAACTGCCAAATTTGTTATGTTGCTCATAACTTTCACATATATAAGTACTATATACAATACGAGTATCGAAGTGGATGGGGGTTGGGCTCGTGTTGGGGGCATTTTTTTGCTTCCCCGTTTTATTTTCGTCAATGCTGTCTCACAACTTCCGGGCCGCAGTTGTAATGACGAACATGCCCAAAAGGCTTTCGAAATTCTCAGCTTGTCTTGGGGCTTTTTGTTGACGATTCTGAGCTGTAAAGAGCACTCTTCTGGGGGTAGAGAAAGAGTGATATCGAGACTGGCAGTCAGAGCAAGAGAATCGTCACTCCGCGCTTTACGTGATGTCGCCGACACTTGGATTGATATTTTATTCCACTTTTTGGGAAGTTCAGCTTTTTATCTCCCGTCTGCGGCTCTCAGACTGATGCGTCAGTTGTCTCAAGCGGCACTAAACAGATCTACTGACTATTCGGCACGAACCCCCCAGATGAATGATATACTCGTATATATGCATATTGAACGCACGATTTATGATGGTCTCTCGACCATCAGAAAGCCATTTCAGGGCCAATAGTTATAGCCGCTAAAAGAGAAAGAGAACGAAATGTTTTGTTGCATTTGGGCAGTTTTGTTGCGAAAAACAATTCAATAAATCTTAAATGTAATAAAGCGAATTCATCTCCTAAATTTAATATGTATTTAGATGGAAAATTTCTTTGCAACCAACTATTGGTAATATTCTAAAAAAAAAACGAACTCTTTTCTAATTAAATCATTGAATGACCTGTTAAATAATTCATCTCTTCTTTATCCATGGATCTCCACAGGTTCTAAGATTGTTCTTTTCTTAGCAAACTTTTTCTCTTTTTATTAGCACATAATTGTTTTTTCAGCTCATCTCTCCATGGGAGAGCTCGTATATTCTTTTGTTTTTATTGATAATAAAATATATAGAAAATTTAAAAATAAAAAAAAAACACAAACAACAAAATATTTGTATTCCAATTGAAAATGCAGTTTTGTTTGCAAATATATACATATGTATATATATATTCACACCTGATAAAACTCACCTTATCGGTTGACCTCTATTTGCCAGCCAGCCCGTCTTCACCCTGTTTTTGTAGGTCAGTCTGGGAATTTCATTAACTTTCGAGTGGATTCGACCTTGCTGCGCACTCGACTGGAACATTTCGTACTGGTATAAGCTCGTGCGACTCCAAAGTTCTTTCGCCCCACCCAAATCTCACTCCTTCTCCCGCACCGACGACAAGGTGTCAATAGGATGAACCAATAATATTGCCATCAAAATATCACTGTTAATTGTTTGGCTCTGTCTCTGCCTTTGTCCAATCCTGAGTTTGTTTGCTTTGCGTGATGTATGTATTTTTGATATTGAATAATAATCATGGGACATCAACAGAGTTAATATTCAAGAAACGAAGCTTGCGAAAATTGCGAGCGAGTACATATATAATCCATTAATTTTCCCATTAAGAGGAAGTGCACCGATTCCATTTGCTGACTAAGAATAAGTATCGTATCGTTACTCAATTTTGAGATGGAAAGGAACGGAATCACTTACATGGCAAATACCTAAGAGCCGATCGCATTGGAGACCCAACGAGAAGTCACCCTTCAGAATCAAAGAGTAAACAAAAGAAATTTAAGAAAAAATAGGTTCAATCAAATCTGAACGTAATGAATGGGGTAGAATTAATCCCCGCAACTGAATCATATGAATGGGAAAGACCTGACAACCGATCGGCCGCTACCGTATCGCTATGTAAAGAACCTAAGAGAAAAGAGCCCCCGGGAACGGAAGAGAATCGGTAGAACAAAGAACTCTCTTTCGGTTTTACTTTCAGGCAATTAAATTTTGCGCGCTCGCCGCTTCTGCATTATAAATTAATTTGTTATCAATAAAGAAAAGAAAAGTAAAACTTGTTTTACGGTCTCTCCATTGGTCGCTCTCCCGCTCTCTCAGCGTTGGAGCTGCTGGCGCCGTAGCCGCTGTCGCAGTATAAAACTCTATAAAAAGTCTGAAACAAATCACAAGATTTTCAGTTAAATTTGAGAATTTGCAAACTGCGGTCGACCCAGCACACAGACCAGATATCGCGAAAACAAAAGACACAAAGTGCAAATATAATACAACCAATTAGTACATATACTATATCATCTGTGGGACTCAGATTTATATAAAATATATATCCGAAATATATATTTTAAAATAAAACCAAACACACAGCACCATGCCCAGCAAAAGTCACATCTTTTTGGCCAGCTCTCTGCTGTTGCTACTCGCGTTGCCAGGTAAGGACTATACTCGAAGTTGCCGAAAGGGTATACTAGAGTATCGGGAAAAGTGTCGTGATAAAATTTGATGGGTGTTTCTTGGAGAAGAAGTGATACATATATCTGATGGCATACTAAGACCCAAGGAAAAACTGAAATATGCACAAAAAGTGTCATGATAATATCGCATATCATTCGATTCTAGATATTCTGGACATCTAGATAAATTCAAATATTCAAGTCGTGACATTACCGATATCTGGACAAACCATGCAAGTATATCCGATATCAGATAGTAGCCCTCCCAAGCCGTAGGCCCAGCCAGAAAATCATATGATGTCTGATAAAAAGGTCTTGTGGCTCTTGAATTGCTGCTGCCGCTATAAATAAATGAAATTTGTGTATCAGATTTTATTAGTACATAAATGTGCAGCGGCAAAACGCGCATTCGAAATGAATTTAAAATTCAAGATCATGAGCGGTTTCGCCATCGAATTTTGAATATCAAAAAGCGACAGAAACAACGTCAGCCGACGCAAACGACATTAAAAAGAGTAAATTAACTCTTTTTTTTTGCTGTTATTATTAAACTGTCATAAATAATGCAAAGATTGTTGCCAATTTGCGGGCATTTCAGTTTTCGATTGTGATGCGGAAATGTCATCCGACTGGAATTGTTAAGAGTCAGGCCCCTACGCCCTGCCCACTAGAAGTGCCATAGGTCCCCTCTAATTTATGGCTCCGATGAAAACTCAGTCAGTCAGCTGCAGTTCGTGCAGCTTTCAAATGGATATGAACGAAAAAACTGAACAAATACAAAATATTATTTGACATTGAGCTGGCGCGCCAGGCTGTCCGCTAATTGAAAATGTTATAGTTACACTTAACACATTTTGCAGCAGCAGCGGCCCGAAATGGGAAAACTTGTCTGGCCCATTAGCACCGCTTAGAAAATACCTACCTCGTAGCCAAGGGGGAGAAAACCTGAAATTCTGTAGTTTTTTCACAGCAATCTCTTGACGCAATTGCGAACGATTTAATCTGGGACTGTGGGTGTTAGCCGGGTTCTGGGGGAGTTCACCAAGTGTATATTACCTGACAAATACAGAATGACTATTAAAAAATATGTATATTTCCACTTAAGAAAATAACTTTCCTCGCATTAGAGATTTATATTCCAAAAGGTATTCCAGTATAAAAAATGGATAAAAAGGCGTTAGCTGAGATATGTGTATATCTGTTATCTGTTTTTTTGGGAGACCATATTCTGGGTGAAGCCAGTTTGAAGTAGCCTCATTCATGAATTTCAAAAGAGGGATATATAAATTTAGGAGCAGAAAGATTTCTTGTCTATGGGAAACTCTTTGCAAAAAGATATACATATTTTAGTAATCGTTGGCCTATGAAGAAATCAAGTGGTTAGGTAAGATATATGGCGTATACTATATTGAATATTGTTTTGTTGCTAGATGCTAAGGGAGGCCTGTAAAGACGCAATAGAAATGGTTACACAAACTTCAATAGAGGCTGCACTCTGGCTCAAAGATTCAATTAAATATGTGTTGTACAAGTCGGCACTTCCCAACAGCAAGCAAGCTTTTACGATCCACAGAGTATATTGACTTACATAAACCGTCTAGAACTCTGGAAGCTAAACAATTAAACAAGAATTAAGGCTTAATATTAATGAGTAAGTCAAATGCAAAAGTCAAATGTGCAAATTCCAGAATGGAGAGGTTCGGTGGCGCTTATCACGTGCCATTAAACCCACAACAAGCTGTGCCTCACCCCAAAAGGCAGCCATCAATCAGAATGATTTATGATAAATTAAAAAAGAATAAACACCAAAAAATAATATTATAAATTAACACACGACAAAAGTTGTCCATCATTTTAACAACAAACAAAAATTTCCAAATATTGGGATCTTATCTATAGGGGAACAATCAAGTTGAATAATATCTATAGGGAGAACAATCAAGTGGGGATTTTGTCTATAGGGGACTAGAGTCAACAGGTGTTTATCCTT